AACGTTATACATTTACATATATATATATATATGTATATTTATTATTTTTATTATATTGACCTTTTAGCCGTGCCTGGCTAACAATGCAGAAATTACAATGATGCGGCTCATGTGCACTCATGTTACCATATCAAATAACATAAAACTGATGTTTGGTCTGTACAAAATAACTTGTCTTGGCTGTGTTTTAGTAGACTAGTATTTTGTAATATACAGTCACATTATAACTATTATATATGTATATAGATTATTGCTATTTTGGAATAAGTTCTTAAACTTTTTTTTCTTAAAACATAGAATAGTAACTAAAGAAGCAATTAAAGCAACAATTATCTCTTCTAGTTACCACCTTTGAACTCGATTGCTGCTTGATATTGCTAAGCCTTTAAAAAATTTGCACATGGAGGATATGAAACAAAATATTTTTTTAGATTTTATATGCACATTTGAATAACTAAAAAATCGTAAATTACTACATTAATACCATAGAATTCCATTATAATTTATAAAGCTTAGTAACTAAGATGTATTTTTGTCTAACAAAAATATGGAATTTCAAGCAGACTAAAGACACACACTATCTTGTTGAAATATTGGTTCATAAGAAAGAAATGGTGCCAAGACCATTAAAATGGCTGAGAAGGTCATTAGGGGACATTCTGAGCTTCTGATTAGTTATTCATGTCATATATAGAAGTAAGTGTATATAAGAGAGCATTTCCAAAAATGGAAAGAGGTGGGTGGGGTGCCACTGTGTTTGATTTATTACATGAGCAATATCTTAGCAAGTTAAAAAGATAAGAGGCTCTTATTTTATATTCTAGATTGTCAATATCAGTAATTTGAGTTTCTAATTCATAGGGAACTACAGACTTAGTATTTTGACTTAAAACATCTAATTTGAACCAGTTCTGCATTCAACGTATCACGTGACACACAAAAATTGATGTTTATCTGTTTATTTTAATATTAGCCTTTAAATTAAGAAATTGAGTAATATATAGTACTAAAATTTGAATTGTAATCTACAGTATGATACCAAAGTTATTGATATAAATTTAAGAAATAGTAGTTTAGTAAAAATTCTGAATGCGAGTCAACAAACGAGATGACATAGCCTTTCACCCATGACCTGTCTCGAAAGGGTTAACCAGACAATCTGTATTGTAGATTTTAGCCCCTTAAATCATCAGGAGCATATTACACAGAGCTCATACAGAGAATCCTATGAACATCCACTCGACATTCACAACATTATTTTCAGTTTGCTGCAATAAATGCTACAGCATAACACCTGGCATAGTGGTTGCATGTCCTTTTGGGCCATGCTTCTTGAAAGTAAATGGTCAGCTTCTACCTTTGTAGGCAAGCAAACTTGTGTGACATGGCCAGTCACTGGAATTAGGTACTGAAATTGTCTATCAGCCTATCTCTCTATAGCTTGTTATCATTTCGCACTGTGATGTTACAGTGAGTCTTCTGAAGATGTTAAATACTCCTGACTGGAATCACCAACTTCTGTTTACCAACATCTCAAACATATCTTCTATATCAATCTTTATGGGAGATTCTGTAGGTTTTTCCTATGTTTTCTGCATCTTTGTCATTGCCCATGGAATCTATGTATGTTGTACAGAACTTCACTTGCCCTGGATTACAGCAAAGCTAAGTAATACCATCAATTTATTGCCTGTATGGGTTTTCTTATCTCCTTGAAGGCCCTATAATCACTATTCAGCTTCCATCATTTTTTCTTCTAGATGTGCACACATATCCTCTTTTATCTTAATCATCTGTGTGTCCAGTTTTTATTTAACTTACTTAATTACTGACCATGTTGGACTGGGTGAAGATGAACTTACTGGCATTGTTAAATCTCTGTTCATTCCATATCTTGATATTAAAGCATGACAGTTAGGAATCATTGAACAATTTGGGATAAGTAACAGAATAATGACTTTTTCCAGATCGTGCCTATCATCAGTGATTGACAATTTAGTTTTGCTTAGATCATAGACAAGTTGTTCTAACAATGCTCTGCATTAATTAATCATATTTTTGATTTTCTCATGCAAGGTGATGACCTGCCAATATGTGAGCAATGTGACATTTGAGTCACCATAACTAACATTGAACTTTCAGAGTTTTATAGACATATTTAAATCAATGTGTTCTTTTGCAATTCATTAATGTAATTAGAAATTATAGTGCTGTCTAAATCAACATTGTTTTTCTTTATGTATCGGCCATAGGCCTTTTTCATTCGATTTAATATTTTAATCCTGAAAATGTTTCAACCTCTTTTACTTTTTTTTCACTTAATTTTTATTAAGCTAGTTTTATTATTAATTCTGGGGTTAAGAAAAAACATTGGTGCAGCTAGCTATGTCAGCTTTTCACAAAAAAGATGCAATAAACAATTTACTTTGTTTGTGAAAAGTAATGGACCTCTGACATATGAAAACATAATTTTTTTTCATGTATTGAATGGTAGTGTAATTAAAAGTTTCTAAAGAAATTTTCCAAAAGAAAAGACTATTTTTTTGAAGAACCTTTCTTATTGTTGTGTGTTATATATTGTGATATTACAAGATTTAAACAAGTGGATTCTTCAGTTAAATAAAGTACTGTTTGAAAGGCTTATTTCAAAGCTGAAGCATAAATGTCTAGTGTATCTCAAACTTTTATGTTACACAGAAAAGTATTCTAAACTGAAAACTCAATCAATGCAACTAGTGTATAAAGTTTAAAATTAAAAAAAGAACCAACATTAAACAACATGATTGAAAAGGATACTTGTCTGGAAAAGTGACAAAAGTCATGTGTACACAAGTTGTTTGCACAACATATCAGATGCAGTGTCTATGAATTTCTTTGTGATTGGATAGTTGAAACAGGAGTTGGAAAACTTTCATTTGTGTACACTAGATAGATTATGGAAGGGGTGTAGGAAGAAGTGGTATGCTTAGAACATTACAATAGGGCTATTGTCAAGGTGCACAGCTGTAAGATGAAGCATGATTGCAGATGGGAACATGATTGCAATGGTGTTATGAGGTTCCAAAATCGTTTTAATATAACATATTAAACCTCTTTTTTTTCTTTTTTCAAATAGTCACTAATTTTTTGGAAGCCCTTTGAAATTGTTTAAGTATATATATAAAAAAACAGTTTATATCAATATAGCAAAGCTTGCATTATGCAATTAAAATGTTAATTTTCTGACTAAAAATTATTTTGAATTATAGCATTTAAGTGACACTACTATATCTTCGAAGGATGTTTCTGTATCTTAGGTTTAAGTAGTATCTATTTCCTATCTTGCTTTTACAGCAAATTTATATAATGTATCTTGAAAATATACATTCCAACTTCTAAACTGGTGGCATCCTTTGGTGGGACAATAGTAAGTTTATACACTTACAATGCTAAAATCCGGGGTTCGATTCCCCATGGTGGACACAGCAGATCGCCAATGTGACTTTACTTGGAAACAAACAACCAAGTAAACCAGTGGCGTTAGTCTTGCTGAGAATGGTACTTACAACAGTTTCAATGGAAACCAGCAATGTTACTAAAATCTATTAACATAAACTAGCTTAATTCTACTTAACACTAGCAAGACCAGACTCAAACCTGAATACTTCACCATGAAAACTAAGATTGTCTGTGCTGGATTTTTCATTAGGGAAAAGATCTAAAATGCTGCTTTTACATACCTCACTGATTTTAAATGTGTAGTGTACTAACCTGGAGAAATGTGACAAAAAATACCTTCAGTCATCTGTGATTGTAATCATACTTATTAGGCCTTATACAAAGCATTAGTGCTTCACTAGATTAGGTTTTTTACAACCATTGCTCAGAGTTCAATATACTATTGATAATTTTCTATAACGTTTTTGATAACATTTAACAGAAGAAACTGTTGACCAATAGGTGACAAAGCCTTTAGAGACATCAAGACTTGCAAGCAGAGTCAGTCTATCATTGTCAGTGGAGAGTCTGGAGCAGGAAAGACGGAATCAACAAAATACATTCTTCGGTATCTCTGTGAATCCTGGGGTAGTCATGCTGGGCCCATTGAGCAGAGGATCCTTGATGGTAAGCCTTACCTATTTTTTTATTCTGATTTATATTATACAGTAATTTAAAAAGCAATTATAAACCTAAAGCAAAATTTTTACATTAAATAAAGCTTCTAAATTGTTGTATATTAAACATACCTTTACCAAAAACCCCTTATAATTGTTACATGCTTCTTTAAATTCTTGTATGAACAGTATAAACAACATCAGTGCTCTTTGTTGTAGTTTAACTTTTTCTTTTTTCTTCTATATTTGCATTTGCATGAAGAAGAATTTATGATTCTATCAAATAAAGTATAAGTAATCTGTTTATTGAGCTAAAAATAATTAGAACCACAAGGAATCTTTATTGATATGAACTGTGAGAGTTCTGTAAACATAATATTTTTAGCAAGTGAAATGTTCATTTCTAATTTATTATAATGAGCAGGTGAAAATATTTTTTTTTGTTCTAGCCAACCCTATTCTTGAATCTTTTGGTAATGCTAAGACTGTACGAAACAATAATAGCAGTAGATTTGGAAAGTTCATTGAAATTCACTTCAACAACAAGGTAGGTGATGCATTCTAACTTTGTTCTTACTTGTATTTTACTTAATATTTGATTTTTTCTTTAAAGGCACTTCAACAAAAAGTAAGTACTGATTGCTAGCATTACAACTGAATCCATACTATAAGCCAGTTAGCCAAGAAAGTGATAAAGTTGATTAGTTTAAATAAAGTACAAACAGAAGTTTTCCATAGTTTAAATTCGCAATGACAATTGGTAAACATTTATACAGATAATGCAACATTTGAGTTTGGGAAGTTAAGATATTGTATCTTCTTTAAAAACATTCAGGTTTATAAAGTACTTTATAAGAATGTACATGTATACTTGAAAAAATATTGTACTATTTGACATAATTTATTAAAGTAACTCAAACTTTCTAAAGTCAGTGAAAAAAGCATGTAGAGTATTAGATATGATATTAAACCATCATGCACAGTATATTAGATGTACAATGATATGACACCAATATATCCCATGTATTGGTATAATGAAATTCTAAGCAGGCATGGGCAGTGTATTAGGTATAATAAGTTAAACCAACATATACCACTTATTAGGCATAATACAATATTCAACCAACTCATATAACTTATTAGATATAATGTGATTTTAAACCAACATGTAAGTGTATTGGATATTGTTTAAATTGCTTATTATTCACAACATGCCTTGGTTTTTATAGTATTTAAATGCATTTTCTCAGTATGCTGTAGTAGGAGGTTACATCTCCCATTACCTACTTGAGAAGTCTAGGATTTGTAGTCAAAACAGTGGGGAGAGAAATTACCATATATTTTATCAGATGTGTAGTGGAGCACCTGAGCAACTGCAACAACAACTAAAACTTGCCAGTCCCGATGCTTTTGAGGTAATCATAGTTCTGTTATTGTATTGTCAGAAGTTCCAAACAAGTTATTTGTTTATCAAAATTTTCACTCTAACATCTGCTAACTCCTAATGAGAAGACAAGTTAAATTTTCAATAGTAAAGTAATTGATGGACTAGTTTCATTCTGTTGTGTCCTTAATTTATGGATTAACCTGAATACCACCAGCTACTAACTTTCTGAGTAGCCAATGCAAGTCTTGCTATATTTCATTCCAACAATAAAACTAGTGGATGAATTGTTTGAACCTTCATAAGAACTTTCATAAATGCACATAGTTTAAGAAACATAAAGCCTGTTACTTTGATAAATTTAATTTTTTTGCATTATGATCTTTAATATCTTGGAAAATTACATTATGAAATGGTATTTATAAGAAATGATTACAATATTTATATTTGTTCAAAATTTGGACTTGCTACTTTTTATGTTTTAGTACATTATATTAACATCCCCAAAAACTTTATTGTCC